CCCACTTGCTCCAGGGACCAACCCAGCCTAAAAATAACCTTCCTCGGTTGGGTTACTCAGCATCGCCACCAGCAGCAGCAGCAGCAGCTATAGACGCCGCCGCCCTCCTGTACGATAAAACTTCCCCGCAGTGGTGGCATCGCGCTCGAGACGTTGTTACGTCATCATCCCCATTGCCCTCGCGTTTTCACAACTTTTCGTTCAACACACCCTTACGTAGCAGCAACCTGCATATCCATCACCCTCTCTTCACTACGGAATACTGTGCGTAAAATCAGAGCACAGTATCACACTCTCCGTCAGTATGGCACACCGGCAGTGCAGTGTCTTTAACACATGCCCAGTAAGGTTGTTTCATAAGTGGGTTCTCGACTAACCTCATTTGAGTTTTGGACACGTGAGCCTTGCTGCACGTGTCTCCCTGTCCTCCTCCAAACATGCATCGCTAACGGTCTTGCAGAAGGAGGGAGCGTCAGCTACACTTATGTAACTCAAATAGGCTAAGGAGAGGGATGGTAAGGGGAATAAAACATTTGTGGTGTCATAACGGTGTGTGTCTTGTTGGTAGAGGGTCGCCTTAAAACAGGAAATAGATAAATAACGTAAAAGGAAGGAGTTTGGGGGTTTGAAATAGGAGAGTTACACGGCCCGAGATATGCTGAGGTACAAGCAGGCGTGTGTACGATAAGACCAAGTTTACGTCAAAAAGGAATATTGGAGGACGTTATCTCTCACTCTCTCGCCATCTTTATCTCATTAGCAACACTTAATTCTGAGAATTTACCGAGAGACGAAGGTAAAGTAACACATGAGATAAGTAGTCAAGTCCAGGGAGGGTCCACACTAACCTGTACTCAGATAGGTTAAGTAACCAGGAAGCACTTGGGTGTGTGTGTTGTATTACATCACTGGTTAGTTTTGTGGGTTTAATCAGTCTCCTCCCTGGCACAAGATGAAGCTTCCTAAATGTTTACTACTAGCCTATTTAGGACGGAAAACCCTTCTTCCTCCCCCACCCCCTCCCCTTACGGGTGTCTCTTGATCTACAAGGCTAGGCGGAGGAGTATACTCTCCCCCCCTCCTCTTCCTCCCTACTACCTCCCACCCCTCCCAAATCCCCCACACTCGTGCTTGCAAGGCCCAGGCCGGGGTCGCTATGGGGCGACGCGGTTACATGAGTGTTCAGTTCGGAGTTGGGACCAGTTATGTAAGGTGAGGATGCTGAAGCCGCGTCCGATTCCCTCACCCCTGGCCAATCTTGGCTTCCATCTGTTATTACTGGGTTGGGTTTCAAGGCGAGGAGAAGGGAGGCAGGGGGTACTACTACAGTTGCAAGGTTGTTGCAGAACTGATAATTTGACGTAACCGCTCGGGCACAGTAAACGACTTAAAACTTGTTTATAGATAGTCAGGGGTCAAGTTGATTGTGATAAAGTTTAAGATTAGGTATTTGGTCGTATTAAAGTAAAGTGTTATTAATGGTGAAACTTTTCATGCTTGGAAGTCCGCAGTTGCCTGGCGTATGAACCCAAGTTTGTTCTACTTATGAATGTCCTTCAACACCCATCCCATTTCCTCCCACACACACATATTCTTTCTTCTTGTAATCCTTCCTTTGTCTAATCACTCTTTTTATCTCATCTCCTTTGTTTTTTACCTCATCATCTTAATTCATACGCGTCAACTCCTCTAAATTTTGTTCGATAGTCCTACCTCAACCGCGACCCTGTTGATTACGCTCAGCTGTCACGTGACTGGTGCCTCTAATACAAATAATTTCTAAATAACATTTGTATATCTACGTAAGGAGGAGGAAGGGCGGTTTGTCTTGTTGTTGAATGATGTTGACCTGATTAGATGGGTCACGTGAGCTAGCTAGCCACCCACTCACCTACAAGCTGGCTCTCTCTTACTTCCCCCAGCCACCCGTCACCATAGCAACCTCTCACACGCTCCTCAGAATAACTACGCTCGACAAGTTGGCGTCTTTAATACAACACCATTAGAGGTTAACACGTAGTTAAAATACTTTTCATTTTTAAGTGAATGGGAGATATACTGTATATCATCGTGGTGGTTGCATAGTAATGATATATAATTTAAAGGAACGGAAGTACTATAATGTCATTGGAAATCATTAAGGAGTGAATAAATTCGTGGATCTTAAATAACATCTGTGGAGGGGATTTCAGCGTCGTCGAGGCCATGGCCGCGCACACGCCCTCGGACAGTCACGTTGCGTCACCCGCCGCTCGCTATTTTCTACAACGCATCGTCCTGATTCGTTTTGCTTCGCTGGCGGGCATTTCAACTTCTGTTTCACCCTCCGATCGTTTTATTTCTCTTCTTTCGTAATATCCACGTGCGAGATCATACCCTCAGTCACCGTGTAAGCATACATAGTAGAGTTCAAACATTAAGGGTCGACTCTACGCCCTATTTTATATTGGCATCACACCAAAATTCCGCAGTTGAGGACAGCTAAACGGTGGTGGTGGTGGTGGTGCAGCTCTCCGTTGGTGGTTGTAAGTACACGAGCGGTCCAATAGTCGCCGCGGACGCCACGGGAAGGAAGCACTTGTACTCTGCCTGTACCCGGAGTCCACACCCACCCCCCACCCCTGTAGTATATCACGACCAATTCGCAAGTTACGTCTCACTGAAAACCGACAACGTAAGTAAATTAAATTGGATTGTGTCGGCTCGTGCCAGTTTGGAAAGGAGAAAAAATATCGCAGGTTATTTTTCTTGAGTTCTTCATTGATTCTGTTATTGAAAACAAGTGTGAAGTGCTGTGTTATTGCGTGAAATTTGACAGGATAACATTTTTTTTGTGAATACTACCTGAGTTTATAGTTGTAACCATAGTCCCGTGTCGAAACAGCGCCTCCGATTGACTGGCCGTGGTGCAGGCGTGAGCCCTTGGCGTAGCAACATCAATCCTTATCTTCCTATTTAACCCCATTTTTATCGCCATCTGCTCTTTATCATATCACGTTCTATACCATCCAAGGATAGACCAAAAGCAGGCCATGGGATGCAGACTAAAAATACACCCGTGCCATTGCAAGCAAAAAAAAAGTGGACTCAAATCGTACCCAAACACATAAGAGGGCTGGGAGTTCAGGTGAGCTGGCGCGTCTCTCGCAGGCATTCGGACACACATTCGTACCCTAGCGTGGGGGAGGGGGGATGGCTGGAGGGTGTGGGTGTGCGTGGTGGTGTGTGTGTGTGTGTGTGTACGGGCTTACGTCATACTCCGGGAGACACTGGGTGTTTTTAAGGGTGTTCCCAAAAAATCTCCTCCCTGAAGACTTTACTGTAGCATCCATGTAGACCACAATAAGGTTGAATTCCTTTGTGTTTGAGATTTGTACTCTCACTCCTCCACCTCCCCCCACTTCCCTCTCGCCTCCTACCACCACAATCACCCTCTCTCGCACCACCCCACCCCCCCCTTCCCCAAGCAACACAGCCTAGCAATAGCGCGCTTGTGTGCTTGCTCAGGCATATTACTGATCTACCTCACTGCTTTCATCCTTTATATCCGTTGACGCATGCCGTTGGAGAATGTATAGATTGCTTGCAGGCATTTTGTGGGTTTTGGTTAGTAATTTGAGGGATGGCGGGACGCGATTGCTTTGCGAGACCATAGTAGAAGAACCACCACTGGCAGGAGGTAGTAATAGTATCAACAGACAGCAGGAATGCCACAAGCTGTCAGTATTAATTACAGTACGGTGCAAACACAACAGTTGATTCACCTACACCACCACCATGAACCTGCAGTAACTACAATGCACCACGATTTTTGCAGCTACAATACGTTATAACAGTAGTAGCAACAAGCACCAGTTTGCAGTAACAACTTCCACCAGTGATAACAACAGCAATGCAGTACGATGCAGCAGGAGGAGGAGAACGCACCCACTAAGGGCCTCTGGGGTCGGTGGCCGCGGACTCATGTATTCTAGTGGCCCCGCCGCACCACCACACCGGAAGACCAGTACGCCGAACCAACCCCCAGTCTTTTTCGTTCTTTTGCCTTGCATTTTCACACAGGTTTTGTATGGAATATCAATGTCACACCCACAGAGGAAGAGTCTGGGTAGTTGGAGCGTCGTTGCCTGGGTGATTTTGGTTGTTGGTCAGTGAGGTTGACGTGAAGGTCATTGAGTGTGGCGAGTCAGTTAGTCCAGTACGAGACGTTAGGCTTGGGTTAACCTTGTTGTTGGTGCCTGGCGTATGTATGCGGCGTAACTTGTTGATAATGGTGATGATGGCGGCGATATTTTTCCTTTTTTGAAGCGCCTATGCTGGTTAAACTACTGTGTTTATTTTGTATGTTGTTAGTTTTTGAAGGGAGACAGATTACTAGACACTGAAGCTAGGCGAAATCTTTTGTTGTTGCTGCCTGATGTTCAGCGTAACTTGTTGACGGTGCCGCTGGGATTCCAACAGCTTCTTTAACTTCTTGTATTGATGTCAGTCCAGTCTGTAAGTCTATGAGTGACAAGACAAAATAGGAATAGAAGGAACTAACTTATTCAGACCTTGTACAGGATCCCTGGGGCAGTGTTGCTGCTGACTGGCTGGTCTCTTGTGAGCTTCCCAGCGATTGTTAGAACTGGTTGTTAGACAGACATGTTAGTTCGTGTTTTTGAGGATTGTGAATTGTTTAGATCACCATGTTTTATTAATTTATATGAAGTATGCATTATGTAATTGAATATGACACATTTACACAGGTGAGAATACGGCAGTAAAGGAACCACAAGCTGGCCTTGGGAATTTTACTCCTGGCGCCGTTTCGACCCATAGAATTAAATGCCTAACGTCGGCTTCTGTTTCCTTTACTACCATATTGCCATATAATATATATCATTCTTATTGCTGTACATTATTATTCGTTCGATTTTATATATCTGTACATATGTTCACCATGTATCAATATGAATGGTTCATCAGTATACTAACGTGCATCTCTCTGTCTTCCCCAGATGTTCTTCAACACCACATTATGGTTGCTGAGACTGTAAAGTCCTACCCGGTGAACTACCCGGCACTCATCCCGCTCACGCCCTCAGTGCCCGGCCTGGGAAGCTACAACCCCTGTTCTCCCTCTCTCCTCCATCCCAACTACCAGGCTCACATGATGGACCAGAAGCCGCCCCAGCAGCAACAACAACAGCAAGGTCAAGGCCCTCAGATGGGCGGGCCACATAGCGGCCAGGAGACCCCGGTTGGGCTGGGTGCTTCTGGCCCCAACGTCCCCTCGTCTTTGGACTTGGCTGCGCAGCTGCGCAAGAAGGAGATCTTCTCTCAAAGGAAACAGCGAGAGTTTATCCCTGATAGCAAGAAGGACGACTCCTACTGGGACAGACGCCGCCGCAACAACGAGGCGGCTAAGAGGTCCCGCGAGAAGAGGCGCTTTAATGACATGATCCTCGAGCAGCGAGTGATCGAGCTGTCCAAGGAGAACCACATCCTCAAGGCACAGCTCACGGCCATCAAGGACAAGTACGGCATCCAGGGGGAGAACCTTATCAACCCCGACCAGGTCATGGCTAACATGCCTCAGTCTGAGCAGATTCTCGCCATCACCAAGCGCACCAAGTTCTCCCAAGCACTGATAACCCTCAACAGCTCACCGTCCGTCACGTCACTACTCAGCCCTGGAGACCCCTGTGACACAAACCCCTCCACACCCAGCTACCACGGCCAGCAGGAACCTGAGTCCCCTCCCCCACACTATTCCCACTATCCCTCATCCTCTGGCCAGATGGACGACCAGGACAGCGTATATGATGTCCCCTCCCAACAGTACGGTCCCTCCACCAACAGTAATTCCTTCTACGGGTCATCTGTCCTCAACCTATCCCGTACCTCTCACTCCCCTCCCTCTCCAACCCCCTCTCACATGGAGTACTCTCCCAGTGACCCCGAGCTGTGCCGACGGTCCCCTGAAGTAGGCATGTCCCTCCCACACAAGCTGAGGCACAAGAGTCACCTCGGGGACAAGGACGCCGCCGCCCATTCCCTCCTCGCCCTCCAGGCCATCAAATCTGAGCCTGAACACCACCAGGAGGCCGCTGAAGACTCTGTCGGGTCTTCGGACGAGCGGGACTCTGCCATCGGCTACTCCTCCTCCTCCTCTTGCTCCGAGTACAACCGGGCGTCCGACAACAACTCCTCCTCTCCCACCGCCTGCTCCATGGTCGACAGCAGCCAACAGCCGGTCAACATGACCCACTTTCACCAGCAACAACTCTACCACCAACAACAGCATCAACATCATCAACAACAACAACAACAACAACAACAACACCACCAACAACAACAACACCAACAACAGCAGCAGCAGCAGCAACAACAACAACAACAACAGCAACAGCAGGAGGAAGGAGAGCAGGTACTGGAGTACGAGAACACCCACCTCAGATCGGAACTGGAGCGGCTAGCGACGGAAGTAGCCACCTTGAAGTACATGTTGGTGCGCAGACCGCGTTCCGAGGGAGATTCAGATGGCTCTCGCTAATCCGTGTGTGTCCGTTAAACGTGTGTGTCGTGAGCATGGCTGTGACATGGGCTCGTATACACTGTTGGGTGTACGTGTCCGTGTGTGCCTGTGATGAGGGGTGGAGGGGGCCGGAAGTGTGATATTCACACGTTTCAGGCCCCCATGAACTAATACCCCCACTGACAAAAACAGACAGAAAGAATCTTGGTGCACTATTTTCTGTCACAGCGGAAGGTGCCGTCTTCTCCCGCGCTCCCTCTCTTTATACTTTATTCTGACTAATGTTAATTATTCATAATAATATTATTGTACACTTTTAAGAAGATTATACAATGTATTTTCTCTTAAACTATACAGAATGTATATAAGTGCCATTAGATAATATATGTTTTGTGATCCTGATAGACTCCTGTGTTTATATCCTCCCACACCAGCAAAAATTTACCCGTACAAGAAAGTTAACTATGAGAAAAAAAAAATGGTTTAATAACTAAAATAACTGAATTGAACAAAATAAATAGGTAGAAATAAAATAAATAGAACTGATTATAAATATTAAAAAGTAAATAACAAAATACGATGAATAATTAATTGAAACGAATAGAAAATATAAATAACTAGAATGGAACAAAATTAAAGTCATTAAAATAAAATAAAAACAACGAGAAAGGTTAAAAAATAATAAATACAAAAAAATACAAACCATTATTGAAAAAGTTTGAACTAAAACAACCTGAAGAACATTCAAATCATTAAGAAAACTGTAACAAGATGAATCAACAAGCAAAAAAAAAATGCAATTATAATACTAAAGATAATAAACAAAAACAAATTGCACCACAACTTTAATAATAATTATATCACATTATCAATAATTGATTCATAAAAACTAAATAAAACATTAATTATGGAATAAATAAAAACTCATTATTACCAAAACAAACACGGAAGAGTAAACAGCGTTGCCAAGTCATCAACCAGAACGAAAACAAAAATAATAAATTATCTATCTCACATATTAACATAACTCCAGACCCAACCTCTCAGTTTAAATTAAATCATAACAGGATCTTCCCTAATCAAAACTAGAGAAGACACTTATTCTCATAAGCCACGTCACTGGATCCTTCAGCCGGTAGTTGGGTAATATTATGCAATTCTCTTGACCTTAGGAGGAGGAGGAAGGTTTGGCAACATTGAGAACGCTTACACCATCAAGAGCTCACAGGCTGGCGCACGCTCCCTCCCTCACGTACTATGGGGAAGCGAACTACCAGCCACGATAGACCTTGTTGAAGAGGACACAATGAACTAACAGAGTGCCAGTGACGTCAAGAAGAAAGCGGATCTTTTGGTCGACATCAACAACGGATCTTGGTAAGTAAATTATCAACGAACGGATGATTAGTAAAACAGCTGAGAGAGAACAGTACTGATAATTTAGTTCTTCGTCTCCGCTTTGTCTCTGTCCTCCCATTCTCTGATTCTGTCTTAATCCACTTCCCATTTTCTCCCTTTCCTTCGTGTTTTATCACTTCATTCGTTCTTCATAGATCCCCCCCCTCTCTCTCTCTTTAACCCCCTCATCTTTCTCTCGATCCTTCCTCCTCTTTCATAAAAAACTTAGAAAACAAAGAAGTCTTTATTGGTCATACAGTCAAGTTAAGAAAACATAAGCATAGCTGTTGATACGTTGCAAATTACAACCCATAACAAACACAGGGTACCTAACAGTCTCCTAAAAGTGTAACAACAACGAACCTAAAACAAAAACAAAACTTACCCTAGGCCTAATAATGATTAGTAAGAGGTTCTTACACACTATTAACAAATATCATAAGTGGGAGGTGGTACACGAATGGCAGCCTCGTCATTCACCACTACAGAGAACAGGATATCAATTTGTCCCTAGAAGCTTCGAAGATATGTGATAGGAACTAAATGTAAAGCAATTAATTAGTGTATAGAACTTCGAAGCTTTGAAGGAGGTGGCATAAAACTGAGAGGGTGAGGCTGAGCTGATCAGTAGACTAGAGAGAGAGAGAGAGTGGACTGTCGTTGGGGTCCTCTCCATATTGACGATGATCAGGTAAGTCTTGTGTGTTATTTGGTGATCGGGGAGCATACTAATTAGTGTTTGTTAGGTTTAGATACCAGGAGAAAAGTTTAAGGGGGTTCAAACCCTTACTGCTGTATACTGTATTGTGTTGGAGTGTGGTGTTAAGAGGATGTATAGATGGTGTTGATGGCATTATGTTAAGGTGGCATAAGAGGATGAATTGGTGAGTCTTGTAGATTTTAATTGTTTATTTTTCTGTCTTTATAATTTAAAGTATTGTGAAACTGTTGCTTGAATTTGTAATACCCCCGTGTTACAATACAAAGATCTGTAAAGTTAAATTATTCCCTCCTGTTATCTGTTCCCATGGCTAAAGGATGGGACCAGTGGTGTTGGTACAGGGTTTCTTAATAGGAAAATATACACACAAAGGAGCCTAGAGAAATATAAAGGTGGGGTACGTTGGGCTTGATACCTCCCACACACACACACATATACGACCCAGGGTTATGTTATGTAATGCAATATTTGGGAGGGAAATCCTCGACCACTGATGGCTAAACTGTTGAAATCTTGTACTATATGACTTGAGGAATTAGTGAACACCATAATATATGTATTGTATATACGCCGATAAAAGGATATATAATACTGTACTGTATATACATAAAGTACCAAGGAACATTCTAATCAGATCATATTATAAATATACCACAAACCACAGAGGAAAATAATGCCGATATATTCTAATGAGGAAACGAACGAAACAGAAAAGCAACATTGTTTAATAACTTAGAATATAAACCCCAAAAACATTGATTTAAAATGTGTTCTTTGCTTTTGTTTTTGGTTTTAATAAGCTTTAAGTATTTGTAGAGCAGTGTCAAATTGGCTCCCTTATAATCAGGATCTGAGATGTGTGCAGCCTTGTAAGAAAGATTATTATCACCACTTTCACCAGTGTATTATAGTTCACATCCATGTCTATATTGAACAACAACGGGGACAGAACACAGCCCTGTCTGACACCCACATTTATTCCAATTTATTTCACTTTTTTCTCAATTTACTCTTACTGTTGTCCTGCTTTTACTGTATTCAATAGCCTTGTAATATCTCCCACAATACTTTTCTGTTCACCCTATCATACGCCTTTGATATTAAAACCATCTGTGATTAATAAAAACCAACAAACACTCAGTAAAACCAAGAAAAAGGCAAAGATTAAAAAACAAAAACAAAATTAAATCGGTCATCCATGATATAATATGATGAAGTTATTAATACTACGCTGAAACAAATAGAGTTATAAGCTTATTTAATCACTCGTCCATTAATAACTAAAACTTACGCTAGAACTCTTCATTAAACACAAATAATCGGAAAAATAATATAAAAAAAAGACAGAAATAATATCCTAG